CACACACACACACACACACACACACACACACACACACACACACACACCCCCCATACCCTTGGGTAAGGCACTTCCCCATCTGAGTCTTAGTTTAAGAAGAGGAAATTGAACTAGATGATCTCTATACACTTTTCCAGTTCAAATATCCCATAATCTATTTCTTTTTAGGCTTCTGATAAAAGAGTTTTAAAAAGTGCCTTCTGTTTCTGGCACTGTGCTAAGCACCGGAGATACAAAGAAAGGCAAAAAAATCCCCCAAAACCAGTCCCTGCCCTCAAGGAGCTCACAGTCTAATGGGGTGAGGGGAGGGAAGGAATACTACCTTCAAACAATTATCACAAGATATAGGTAAGATAAATTGGAGATAATCAATAAAAGGAAGACAATAGCTTTAAAGGGGATCCAAAAGGCTTGTGTGGAAAATAGGATTGTAGCTGGGACCAGACTGAAGGTAGGAAAACCCAGGAAGAAAGAGAGCATTCTAGCCTGGGCATTTAATGGTCAGTAAAAATGCAGAGTTGGGAGACAAATGTCTCTTGTAAGGAAGAGCAAGGAGGCCAAAACATCACAGCACTGGAAAGGCAGGAAGGGGCCATGTTATAAACGGCTTTGATTGACAATTACATAATTTTATATTTGATCCTAGAAATAATAATTGAGTACAGTAGCTGGCTATCATGGTCAGATCTGAGCTTTGTGGTTGTTCAGTTGTGATCAACTCTTTGTGACCCCATTTGAGGTTTTCTTGGCAGAGATGCTGGAGTGGTTTGCCATTTCCTTCTCCAGCTCATTTGACAGATGAGGCAAACAGGGTTAAGTGACTTGCCCAGGGTCATACAGTTAGTAAATGCCTGAGACGGGATTTGAATTCAGGTCTACCTGATTCCAGCTTTCTGTACTGCGCCACCAGCTGCTTCTGGCGGAGGCAGATGATAAAGTACAGTGTGAATCTTAAAGTGCCACATAAATTCCAGTTATTATAATAATCACTATTAGCCTAGAGACACCAGGCCTCCAGTCTGGTGATGATGACTTTATTCTCTGAGTCTTCAATTGCACTCCTCTTGACCTCAGGCAATATTTATAGAGGAATATGGGGGTGTGCTGGTAAATGTTTACCAACCAGGCTCTCTGGAAGAAAAAAATGTATGCATACACACTCTTATATTTAATCTGCATTACTAACACTTTCTTAAATCTGGGAAAGCAACAAAATGATAAATCTAGCCCAGATCTGCAGCATTTGCCAAATGCTGAGTTATAAATGCTCACACCGAAAAGTTAACAACGGATTACAATGGGTTGGGTTGGAGCTGGTGCCCAAACACCCAGGTACCCATTGTCCAGGCAGAAAGATCTACAAGTTGCTTCTGACCTCTACTAGCTAAAGCAAGTCACTAATCCTCTCACAAAGATTCATCTTCATGAGTTCAAATCTGGCCTCAAACACTTAGTAACTGTGAGACCCTGGGCAAGTCATTTAACCTCAGTTTCCTCATTTGTAAAATGAGCTGGAGAAAGCAATGGCAAACCACTCTAGTTTCTCTGCCAAGAAAACCCCAAATGGGGTCATGGAGTGTCTGAAATGACTGAACAACAACAATCTCTGAATGTTCCAGGCAGCTGTCTAATGCTATAACTTACAAAGATTGCTGATTTGTATTGGTGTAAAGAGTTTCCCCACAGAGTGCACTATACAGATGAAATCACAGAAGGAAGAGAAAAAAGGAATTGGCCTGGATGTGGGAGAAGGAGGAAGGACTAAGAAGGGAGAGATGTGGAGAGAATAGGGAGCAGACAAGGCCGTCTGGAGAGGGAAATAGGAGTTGGGGAGGAAAAGGAGAAGGGAGGGAGGGAGAGAGAACGGGGAAGGGATAAAAGAAACAGGCAGGAGAAATAGAAAAATGGAGACACACCTGAGGGAGAGGGAGAGATTCAGTGGGTTTTGTTGTGAGTGTGCTCCTGATATCAGTATTGAGTGGCTATAGTTGGGGAGCCACTTGGGGAATAATGGAGGGGGGAAGGAAGAGGGGAAGGGGAATGGGCCTGCACACGGTACATCATGTAACAAAAAAGGAACTCCAAAGAAAAGCCAGAATAAAGAATGCTGTCAAAGAAATGTGTGGTCCACAAAGACAGGCTTGTCACGTGGTGATAACAAGGAATAACCAACAGGACACCCAGAGACTCTAGATGTCAAGAGAAAATAAGGAAGGCCCCCAACATGGAGGTTCTGAGAAGCAGCTGCTTCTGTTTTGTATTTGGAGCTTCACTAATTTGTTTTCCTGTGGGATTCTAAAGGTTTTGTATGACTAGGAAGGAAGAGCTTAGCCTTGAAATTTTGCTTTTGAACCTTAACTATCAATTGATTGCCTAAGTCTGAAAGTCCCTTTGATATTCCAATCATTCTTTATTCTTTAGAGGTGCCCGTGGCCTCATTCCAAAGAGCCACACAATTAGAATTGAACACAACATTTACAGCATTTCTAAAAAGTGCTGAGTCTTCACTTTTCTTTTAGCTCAGTTGGGTCATTTTTTAAAAATTTGTTTTGTTTTGGTTTCCTTGGGGTCTAGTTAGGAGTCCCCTTCCCTTCTCCCCCAAATGATAGGAATGAATCCTTGAGGAATAAATAAATGGGTTAACTCATTTATAGCTAAATTTTGCTCTTGAGTAGATTTTCTGTCCTTGTATATATTTTTTCCTTACTAGGATACAGAAAAAACATTGCAGCACATTGGAAAGAGAACATTGAACTTGGGGATGGAAGGCTTGGATTTGATTCTGAAATGGACGGGCCGAGAGTAACCAGACACACGCCAAATTAGAAAATAGAGAGCATTTACTGGAGCCGGCCAGAGACTGTCCCCTGGATGCAATCCTAGGAGAAACAGTGCCAAGCAAGGGAAATAACAAAGCTTTATACCCAGCAGTTTACAATCATAGATACTAATCCTTTGATGTAGTGAAATTTACAATTGTGGATTAGCAATCCTTTGTTGTAGAAACTAAGGAGGTCAGGCTAGGTTTGTGACAACTCAGTCCACTTCACTCCCCCCTTTTCACGGACGAAAAGAGTCAGACGGGGGACTCATCAGAGTTCAGAGGAGCATAGGATTGACGCAGGACAAACAACTGGAGTGCTTGCACTCATTTCTGGACATAGCGGGTGATGCATTTTATGAAACAAAGGGCCACGAGTAACCCAAGGAGGAGAAGGGCCAGAGGGCCCACCACTCCGGAGAGTAGGGTGGTTAGCCAGGGGGACCAATTATACAGGGTCTGATACCAAGAAGACCCCGTTGCCCGTGCTCAGTCCCTCTCATCTAACCGCTGCCTAAGGGCTTTCAAGGACTCCTGAATAACTCCAGACCGATTGGCGTAGAAACAGCAGGTTTCTCCCAACGCCATGCATAAGCCTCCCTGTTTGAGGAACAGTAGGTCCAAGCCTCGGCGGTTCTGGAGAACCACCTCAGCCAAGGAGTCTAGAGAAGTTTCAAGGTGTGAGACTAGCTCTTCCAAGGAGCGTAGGTCCTTGTCTACCTGTGCACTCAAGGCACCGTAGTTGGCTTTTCCCTGTATCAGGGCTGAGGCCCCAACAGCAGCGGAGCCGGCCACTCTGAGTCCCACCAATATAGGAACCAAGATAGGTGCAGCCCTCCTGGAGCGAGTTAGGCCAAAATGCTCAGCTGCCCCTTGCTCTGAGTAGACATATACCTGAGGAAAGACACGCACCACTACACAGAGCTCGGTCGGGTTGAGGAAATGAATGCCCTGTATGCAGGTTGTGAGTCCTCTGGTACAAGCGAACCATACTCCAGGTGGGGCGGTTAACAGGAGGTCAGAGCTTTTGGATGTGGGGGAAATAAGAATGGCTGAAGTGCACGTAGCGTTGAACGGGGAGGACCGCAGCGGGTAGTCAGGCCCGAGCAAACACATCCGTTTGCCCTGGACATCGTCTAGGGTAAGTCTAGGCTTGTCTGGGTTACAGCGGGCAGGTATGGCAGAGGGTTGTTTGGACTTACTTAAAGACAACTTTCCCACAGAGGTGATGTTAAGTTCGACAGCAATTCCTACGAAATAGGGGGGGGCTGGATTCAGACACAGCCAACAGGAGGTGGTTATGTTTGGATCAGACAAATTTAGGAATGAGTGGACAGCAGAGAGTGTGTCAAAAATGGGGGAACCTAGGTTAGTGGGGGTCCCTGGATTTTTGGGAGCCTCTGGTACCAGGTCCCTAACAGATGGTGGGGCGAGAGTCAACATGGCTTGTGGGTTAAGGATGGGATTCGGACCTATTGGGAGTGTACGGGCGGGAACTGCG